AAAACGATCACTATGAATAGAGAACGTAAAATTAAAACCACAGTGTACTGCTTATACACTTGAACTGTTCCATCCTCAGGGAGCTAGATAGGTGACCAGATCAGAAAAGAATCAGGCAATCAATTTTACGCCCACAAGATCTAAAACTGTAGTTGTGGTCGATACTTAGCTACCTTGTTCCAAACTTTCTTTGAAATTCATGCTCACTTCTTATCCAGAGCTTATAGAAACTGCTTCATGAGGAATAGCTTGCAGTGCACAAAAAATAATTAACTTTTATCCGACTAATGGATCTTTAGCTAACACACATCACCCATTGGTGTTGTCTGACATCAAAGCTGTGGTGTCATATTGATCTTTCATTTTTATTGGGCGACAAAGAGGTATTGAAGATTATTATATAATAAAATAAACAACGTCTGCCTTGCTGTACAACATCAATGAAAATTTGTTTCTTAAACCACTTAAAATTGGCCAAAAACTGAAAGCTGGTTTGGACATTTCATAAAAGATCAAAACAAAAACAAAAACTTTCTGTATAGAAAACACGAACGTTTAAAATTAGGCTATTGCCAAAGGAAAATCATTGTATCTTGTCAGTTTGTAGCCAGCAGGATGAAAACCTAATATTCAACAGTTGAATAAATGAAAACAAAATGTGTATAGGTTGGTTCAATGCCTTAGATTATTAAATATTGTAACAGAGGAAATACAAATATCTGACGGACTTCTTAAAATGCCCGAATACAATTATATATATATATATATATATATATATATATATATATATATATATATATATATATATATATATATATATATATATATATATATATATATATATATATATATATATATATATATATATATATATATATATATATATATATATATATATAACATTATAACATTCAAAATATCCTGGTAACAACAACAAGGCTCAGTAATAGGATCTTATATAAGTCTAGAATGTATATAATAGTATTCTATTTAAAACCATATATCAATTTTAAAAGTATACCTGAATCCAAATAACTTTTATCTCAATTTTTTTATAATATTTCCTACAATTTCGGAGACAAGGTGTCATCTCGTAATCAACGGGCCATCCGGGACATATATTGGACAATGAATATGAAAGTATAACTACATTGCATCATTTCGAGTTTAACTTCATCCCGGTCTGTGTTCCCGGAACTAGGGCCTAAGCAGGGATCGGAGCGAGATCACACACGCTTCCTCAGTTAGTTGAAAACAGAAGCAGGAGCGCACAAATATAAATTATTAACGGATATAAATAGAGAACTTTATATAGGTTATTATAACGTTTATAGTGAATAGCAGTGTGTAAATAGAGACTCTTATTCCCAATTCCACAGTATTTTCAGGCTTTGCCCGAAGTGCCATGTAGATTTTCAATTTACCTATGGATGTTGACCGTGGTTTTAAGAATCCTATTCGTTTTTTAATAAATATCTCAAATAGGCAAAACATACGAATGGATTACGTCGCATTAAAAATAATAACAGAATCTCCCTCGCAGGTGAAGCAATTTGAGTAAAATAAAATGTCTCCTCGAAAACTAGCAACCCGCTAAACGACGTGGCCTCAGTAAAACTTAATTAGGGTCCGTTTTTAAATCCCATCTCGAGGATTTTCCGGGCGAATCTAATTTCCTAAGCGCAGCGAATATAAAAATTTCATCGCCGTAGAGATAGGGACAATAGATTTCTCTCCCTAACTTGTGTTAACAGTGAGATTTGTTGGACTGTCATTCTCTCTATATATAATAAAATTGGAAGGAAAATCGCACAGACATCATTTGATATTAACTTATTTATTGACTGATTTTACAACAAGGCTAGGAGTATCGATTTCAAAAAGTCGAATCAATAGAGTAGGTCAATAGAGTGCTGCAAGGTTCGCTACTAGGGCCGGTACCCTTTGTTATTTATATCAAAAGACTTGTATAATTCTATGGTTTATTCGCTGTGCGTGTACGTGTAAGTTGACCTTTGATGTGTCTGAAGAAACCTGTATTCGAAATATTAGTTTGTTATTAACCAACACTATATGTATGTTCCAGCTAAATCCATTCGGAATACTAGTTTGTCAAATTGGTTAAGGCTTTCGCGGCCCGTTGATAAGCTATTATCTTGATTCGGGTTTAAAGGCCGTCGTCGGTTGGAATTACTTCCTAACGTTTCGCTAGCACGAGTGGCGAGCTTCTTCAGAGGTCCTTCCATCTCCGATGTTGGACGTAGACTGACGATTTCTCCTGCGCAGATTATATTTATGCCGATTGGTGGTGGGCGGGGCTTGTTCCGCTTCGGTTGGACTCGGGATATCGATCGGTACTGCTCGGGCGTTCCTAAGGATCGGGTTCCAGATTTGGTTGAGTCTAAGGGTCTCCTCCTTTCTGTTGAAATTGTGTGGGTGTTTTTGTATCTCAATGGCTTCCCTGACTAGTCTGTTGTGATAGCCGTTGACCGATGCTAGTAACTTACAGCTCTCAAAGTGTATCCTATGTTCCCCGCTGCCCAGTGCGTGTTCAGCTACTGCAGACTTCTCTGTCTGCCCTAGCCTGCTGCTGCTGCCTCCTTAAGTCTCGTTCCCATTGATCTCTTGGTAGTTCCGATGTAGACCTTTCCGCATGAACACGGAATGCGGTAGACTCCTGCAGCTGAAAGTGAGTCCCTCTTGTCCTTCGCTGACCTGATGGTCTGCTGGATCTTCTTTGTAGGCTTAAAGATTGTTTTGATGTCGTGTCTTTTCAATACTCTGCCAATCCTGTCGGTGACACTCGGAATATACGTTCGATATCCCGTGATCTTGATGATCTTGAGTTCATTGATCTCTCGATCTCCCTCTTGCTGTAGCCATTTGCCTCGAACGCAGTTTTCAGGTGTTCAAGTTCCATCTGGAGGTTCTCCGGTTCGCAAATCCTTCGGGCTCGTTCTGTCAGGGTTCTGATAACCCCATACTTTTGACTTGGGTGATGGTTGGATAGAGCATGCAGGTATCTGTCCATATGGGTTGGTTTTCTGTACACTTTGTGGCCCAGCTTGTTATCTCGCTTCCTCACTAGTACGTCTAAGAATGCAAGTTGTTGGTCATTTTGAGTCTCCATAGTAAACTGGATGCTGGGATGCTGACTGTTGAGATGCTGCAGAAAGTTGTTGAGCTTGTCCATACCATGTTTCCAAATCACGAAGGTGTCATCCACGTACCGGAACCACGTTGCTGGCTTGTACAGGTCTCGACCGCTTTTTCCTCAAAGTGTTCCATAAATAAGTTGGCTATAACAGGGCTTAATGGACTTCCCATTGCCACTCCGTCCACTTGTTCGTAGAAGTTTCCCTTCCACCCGAAATAGCTACCGGTCAGACAGACTTCAAAAAGTTTGCAAATATCGACAGGAAATATCCTGTTCACCAGGTCCAAGCAACTCTTCAGAGGTACTTTGGTAAACAGTGAGACGACGTCGAAGCTCACAAGGACGTCGTTTTGTTCATTATTGATATCTTGAATCTTGCGCACGAAGTCGGTGTTGATGTAACTGGTCACGTGTCCTACGTGTGGTTGGAGCAGCGATGCCAATTGTTTAGTCAAGTAATACGTTGGTGATCCGGGTGCGCTAACTGTTGGTCTTAACGGGACATCTACTTTGTGTATCTTAGGTAGTCCATAGAGCCTTGGTGGAACAGTCTCCGTCCTCACAATGCGCTTCTTGATTTCTTCTGACAGTGATCATGACTTGATGAGCCGGTTGGTAAGACGTAGTCTAGCTTGCGTCAGATCCTATTTCAGGGGTTTGTAGCTTACCGGGTCCAAGAGTTCCTCAATCTTCCTTTCGTAGTCCTCGGTCTTCAGAAGAACGGTTGCGTTTCCTTCGTCCGCTGGGAGTATGATGATACCCTCATCCGTGTTCAGGCTACGCAGTGCCAGTCCTTCACTTCTCCTCAGGTTAGTCTTGGATGGTTTTGGGTCGTTTTTGGGAAGCCATTGAGATACAAAAACACCCACACAATTTCAACAGAAAGGAGGAGACCCTTAGACTCAACCAAATCTGGAACCCAATCCTTAGGAACGCCAGAACAGTACCGATCGATATCCCGAGACCAACCGAAGCGGAACAAGCCCCGCCCACCACCAATCGCCATACATACAACCTGCGCAATAGAAATCGTCAGTCTACGTCCAACATCGGAGATGGAAGAACCTCTGAAGAAGCTCCGACGACGGCCTTTAAACCCGAATCAAAATAATAGCTTATTAGTTTGTCATTTAAAAAAGTTAACACCTTATGTGGTCTATGATTTTTTATTAATTTCAGGGTAGGTTAAATTCAGGTTTGAATTTTATTTCCTTTTTATCTAGTTGTAATTGATAGAATTTTTTCCTTTTTATTTTTTTTCTGGAAAAGTAACTTTTTATTGGATACGTGCAATTTGAGCGACCGCAATCAATTTTTTTATGCATTTCATTCTGTGTGCGATCTAGGAACTGCATACCTTCTCGGCATTCAAAAGTATAGCATAGACCTTGTCCTTAATAATGGAGAGATTTGGGTGCTTTTCGAGAAAATATTCAATCAATGCAATTCATAATTTTAAAAAGTCCCTCATTAGCAAATTGTATTCATTTAAAATTTGTGCACACCTATATGGTATTAAGGTGTACCTAAAGTCACATTAAAAAATGATTACTCGAAATTTAAGATTCGCCATGGTTGGACTGGCTAGTTTCACTCTGCTCTCAGGTGTGTGTCCCTGTTTTCAAGGCCTCCTCGTTGAGGTCAAATATTCAATACTAGAGGTTTAGAGCTTTAAAGAAAGAAAGAGAAAGAGAGAGAAAGGAATTTAATAAGAGACAGATGTCTAAAATAGAGGGCTTTAAAAATAGAGAGACGCACTAGTAACTCACATTTATATATTTCAAGCAGTCCAATCAATTTAAATATTATGGTCAATAGACAATTGCAATTGAATGTGACTCACCCGGAGAAAACGAGGACTGGATCTCGGGCCCGTCGTCATCCGGACTTGAAGTTTCCAGTCCACCAAGGCCGCACTTACTGAGAAGCAAAATGCTCAGGAGGCTCAACGTGCACACCAAAAGCAGGAGACGCGTGAACAACTTCGTTCCCAGCCACCTTTTCATTGTGATGGATTGCGATTTAGATTTTCTGGAATTAAAGAATTTAATTCCGCGTTAGTATACAGGGTCAGGTCAAAAAATTATCGTACCCTATTTTCTTTTGTTTAACGGAGTACCTTGCATATTTGTAGACTATGAAATTTGTGTTTTTTACCTATTCAAGAATATGTAACAGTATGCACTTTTTCTTAGAAACAAGCAAATAAATGACAATTTTCCAAAATAAAAATAATAAACAATTGAAAAATAGTTTCTTCTTATCAATATCTTAAGTTTCTTATAACCAAATGAAATGCTTCGTTTTAGTATTTCAAACTGTTTAAACAAAAATTTAGGTAATTAAAATTAAATATTCATCGCTTCATTTTAAAATTTTAGATATTTATGTAGCAACTTGAATTGAGCCTACACCGATTAGTTTTAAAAATATAAAGTTACTCTATTCAACTGAGCATAATTTTATAATGAATTCTTGGTCGTTTTAAATTAGTTAGATATTTATTTGAAAATATTCTTATAGTTGCTTTAATTCAAGCAAGATGTAAATTCTATTCAATTCTATTCTATTTTGTAATTTTTAAAACTTTCAGAAAAAAAAATATAAAGAAAAGTTAGAGAACTTTCAATTATATTTTTTTTAAATTCTGAACTAATTATTTAAACTATAGCTATATTATTTTTTTTTAAATATTGAACTGGTCCATTTGTTTATAGAAAAATTATAAACAAATGCAGCTAAAAGTTTTTGGTATTTAATAAATGTCTTTTGTTGACATAAAAACGATAAATTAATGACAAAAAGAAATGAATTTTTATTTTTTTATAATTCAAAAATAATTGTAAAGGGTATTAAATTTATTTAAATTTTTATCATACTATCTCATTTTATAGGTATACAAGAAAGACTTCACGAAGAGAAAAAATGTTATTGCAATTATTAAAATATTTTTTAAAATTTGCAATGATAAAGGAAGTCGCCGAATGTTAATTAACTATGGTCTAGTTTATTGGAAAATTAACTTTAATGAAAAACTCCAACGATAGTGTATAGATTATACCATAATTTTTTAGATATTTGAATGTACTTTATACACACTAAAATTTATGTTATTGTAACTAACTAACGGCAATTTTCAACGTTAAATTAGAATTATTGATAATAGAGGTACAGTTTTTGGAATCCGAAGTTTTTTTAGTAAATTTAACCCTCTTTAAGGATCTTTATTTCAAAATCCAAATAAAATATTAATTACCGAACTATAAGCAAAATACTAAACACTACTTTTTACCATCTATAATTGTGTATTAATTAATAATTCCAAATCGAATGAGTTATATCACGTAATTTTAGTAATAGTACGAGTATGTTCAATTAATGTCATTTTAAACTCATTAGTTAGAGTTCTGCTATACGATTAACTCAAAAATTCCCGGAAGATGTATAACAAAACCTAGTGCAGGTATACTTCGACCAGAATTATAGTGCTTTTACAACCGGCCCCGTGATTAACTTTGCCTACAGTTTATTACTCCAAAAACCGCAGCCCCTTATAGGACAGCTGAGCAGACCTTTACCCGTAACCATTCTAGGACCGTCCTATGAATTTATCTACCCACACTAACAAGCGGGATGTAAGTATGTTTTCAATCTTTTTCGCCGAGCAATTCTTAAAACATGTATATAAAAAAATAGTAGAGAGTAACAATGACATTCTAGGTCACTTATTTATATTGCTGCTCCTACTTCCCCTTCTGAATTTCTTATACAATTGTAAACATTCATAACAATTTGTATAGCATTCGAAGACAAATGGATCCGTTATTTTATTTGCTGAGGCAATTCGCCTTCTAAATTGTCATTAGGTTCTCGGTTGTTTTCCGTGCCTTCTTCTAACAGGGGAACATCTGCTTCATTCCACGGTCTCCATATTGTAAAGTGTTAAAGAACAGGAACCTTTAAAAAATGTTTACTTGTAAGATTCTAATAAATATTGGTCTGTATCTGTAGCTTATGTCGAACCTTTATCAACCGCGAATATAGTCTAGAGTCTAAAAAAAGACTGTTGCTGTTTACAAATCGAAGAAGTATGTAGAAGACACAAAAATACAAAAGGAAGAATATTGTTAATCCCACACGGCCCACAAGACAAAAATGATTATTTTCAAACTTACATGTAGCATAAGTAAACAGCTCGAGAATCAGGTATTTACTGGAATGATTACAGTCAAATACCTTCGTAATATATACGAACATATTGAAATTTAGATTAGACTCTTAAGAACGATGCATATCACCTGATGTTAAAATAAATACTTCTAGTTATTCGCAGCATCAATGCTGCATCAAATTTAAAACGGTCCATTTACGTTTCAAATAAAAATTTCAAGTTTCTACAAATATTCGTTACGGTAGATCTCAGGTCAGAACAAACGTGTCTAGATGGGTTTTGCCACGCCTCTGTAAAGGTCTGCAGTTATGGTACTGTGAAATACTTAAAACCTCAAACCAATGACCAATTAGCATGTATGCCTCGCACCGCTCATCAATTGACGATGCTTTTATTCCGATTGCAAGCCCGCAATCAACCATAGAAACGTATGCGCGCAGTCGGATTGCAAAAAGTCTGGTAATTAGTGAACCCGATGGCAATTTTTCTTTTCGTCGGCTATCGCTTGCAAAATTTCCGGTGTAAAAAATGACGGGGGCGTCGTTAGCGAACGAGGTAAAACACACACGGCAACGCGTAGTGATTCCACGATGGGATTAATAATCCCGATCGATTTTGAACTCGGTAGATGACACTTCGGGCAGATGTATCGGTGGACAAAATGGCGCAATTTATCATCTGCATACCAAAGCGTTGACCAATAATAATTTATCGAACGACCTCTGGACTCAGACGGGGTCCTTTACAATTACAAATTGTGAATTGGAAATGATTGAACATCGTGCGATCGTTGATCCGTCCTATTCGAATGAGCCTTTGTTTCCATCTTTGGGTTTAGTTTTGGAAATCGCTTGATGCTTGACTTCGGGACAATTAAGCGGATGAAAGAGTTGTACCTGGAGTGAAAATCATTTCGAATTTTAGGCATTTCACAGTAACAAAGTTGCCAAATATGAATGCAAAGCAAACTGCTTCTTGTCGAAACTTGAGGTAAAACAATTTGAGATGGTCGCTATCTTTTAGAATGTTTATTTTTTAAACACGCATCTCCTTAGCGACTTATCCAAATTTAATAAACTGATCTTTGAGAACTTATTGTTCGATAAAAGGCGGTACGACTGTCCCTTCGACTGCGGTTCTATGAAATTACCATGCACAAACTCGAATTTTTGTGGATTACTGAAACATTTTAAGTCCTGTTTTACTACAACAATTTGCGAGCTTAAATAGTAATAAATCTGATCTGCCTTGTGTTGAGTTTGGAGTAACTCAGGCCTCCGTTTCGGGACTGCGTCCTTTCTGTTATATATTTGTCAGTACGTGCACAGTACAGTCAGTTGGATCATGTTACATCGTTTGTCAATTCAAGTAGGACCATCATCGCTTTGAGTAGAATAGAAAAAGACACTTTATCTATGCTAAGGCATGGTTTTTAGCAAATAATCTACTATTTAAGGAAGAAGAATGCAAGGAAGGAAGGAAGTTGGTCAAATCGCATTGACTTGCTAAGCATGTTACTTTGAAATTCCCCATTTCTCTAGTGACAACTTCGTAAAATGACGAGTTTCGAGGTAGTCCTGTTAATTTAGTTCGCGTATAAATTATGCCTCCATCTTGTAGGGTAATTCCCCTTATGCGTTTAAAATATTTATAGATTCGGATTCTCCTATATATGACACCCGAAGTTCAAATAATCCCGAGATGCACAACGCATAACATTTTCAACATAAAATTAAGAGTTTTCTTACAAGAGAGGGCTCTAATTACGGAACGGAACAGCAAACTAACACGCTAATTTTAAAAGAATTTTGATACTGCGCATGTGGACCCCGAAGATTTTCTTAGAAAACCTGAACGAGAATGCCTGTGCCAACCCCACGATACCTGAATATTCAAAATTTTCCCGCGCCAGCCCGAACACACCCGAACATTCACGAAAATTAAAATTTTCTCATAAGTGAAGTTTTTGAAGAAAGTATCGATCAATCTTGAAGGACTGTGCGCAATGATTGTGACTTAATATTTGTTCTGTGCTATATGCATGTGAACTTACTTTTCATTTTTATATAGAATATGTATAGGTATATATATTTTTTTAAATGTTCTGTATATAGAGCATTGATCTCAAAAGTTATGACAAAATGGTGAATGCAAAAGTTGTAAAAATTGTTAGGACGAACAATTTGAAATTATCTTAAAGTATATAAGATGTCTCAAAAAGCGTGACTAATAAAACTTATATATTTTTGAAATGGATACTAATTTTAAAATTTTGATTTGAATTCTTTTTAAAATTCTTCAATTTTTTTATCAATAAAAATATATATCTGAAGCTAACAGTTTTTCCAATATTACAATTTTCCCAGAATAATAATAATTTTCAGTTATATTTGATATTAGTGTTATTTTAAAAAAATCTACAGCTTTTATTGTTATATACAATTTTTGACATTTTGCGATTTATTTTAACCTTTCAAAAATTTATCCTCCTTTCTGTCTAAGACTATTGCTATAATATTACTTAGCCATGACAAAACTATTAGACAACGAGGCTCTGTTATGATAAAAAAATTAATAGGAGCAAGAACTTTATTGCAGCCGTAGACAAGCAACAGCAAATAACGGCCAAATTTTAAGTTCACAAAAAAGATAATTAAATAACGAATTAACTTTTTAGATGTTCAAAAATATGTTCGAATCCTATTATTCATATCTTCTGGTGTTATACGGGGATTCACATAAACAAGATCTTTAACATTTCCCCACAAAAAAAAATCTAGTGATGCTAAGTCACACGATTGAGGAGGCCATCCCATCAATCGACCTCCACCGATCCATTTGTGAGGGTAATAATTATTTA